CACTTTCTTTACATCCTATCTCAGAGATATTTTTCTTGCATGTTTTCGAAAGTGTTCCAGTTTCATACTTTCAAAAAAGAGAAAAACTTTCATTGAGATAGGATGTAAAGTGCCAGCGATAGAAAATCTGATACCGATACGACAAGGATCGTATGTTAAAGAAGTTTTTCTCTTTTCCCAAAGTATGAAAAGCTGCTTTCTATTGTTTTACTTGTTCTTGTCCGATTACTTCATTTCTAAGAGATATCTAATTGATTTTAATGAAGAATGATTGAAGTATGGATATTTGGCAGATGTTCATGTACGTTGATTATGTTGACCTAATAGTTCGATTTATAGGCTTTCTAAGCGCAAGTGTCGATTATGCATTCTCGTATGTCAATGTTCATTCAGAATTGGACCAGTCTCTCTCAATACAAACATAATCTATCGTTTCCATAACGCAAAAAGGGAAACTCACGTTAGCAAATGTTTTATTGTTAAAGTAGTACTTAGTGGATGCTGTTTGTTTTGACTAGCTTTCGCAGATAAGTTCCGAAACTTCGGAACATGATCCTAGGCTTTTGTCCTTTAGGTTCAACTACTTTATATTGCATGGTTCAGATAATGAACATATTAATAAACTTTAACTTTAGTATAGTTAGTTATAGGCAATAGTGGTTGCCACAAAATAGTGGCCGGTTGGAGCCGCTCCAACAATAGTCAATAAAATTAGTCTACCATAAACCTGCATTAGTTTGGAAATATCGGTACGATTGGGAACGGTCTCTTTACTCAATGAGCGCTCCTGAAAATAAAGAAGTAGATTAAATTTCGGGTATTGAATGGTGATTTTAAGTATGATACTATGGTTCGATCATTAGTTTGGTGTAAAGTACGTACGTATATATCGTTTGTAGCAACACTTGTCTCATTGACATTAATGGTTCTCGCATCTACTGATCGTTTCTGTTGGAAAATTTAACAAATTACGTGTAGCACGCTCTGCTATTGGTATTTCGACTCTATTTTGGTTGTTTTCTACAATACATACACCGATTTTCTATGAAATTATGCCTGAGCCAATTTGTACGTCCATGACAATTACCTGTTCGTTAATTCAAACCTATTTTTACAGTTTTCTTTGTTATGATACTCTTCCGTGGATGCTGATGGGCATCTTTCGATTATTGACATTAAAAAATGTTCGTGCTACTCGAAAGCGAATTATACCAATACCTAGAAAATATACACGTACGGAACGTATTGATCAACAACTAACATCCATATTACTGCTAGAGATCATTATTTGAGTTCTATCATCAATCCGTTATTGTACCCAAACCTTGTATTCAACAATTACTCTCTTTGACATACAAGATTTGTATCGTTCAGCTTGAAAAAATTCATTTTTACAGATTGTACGTCTGTTCTTCTATTTGAATTACACAGCACAATTCTACATCTATTGTATCTCATCGCTACTTGTTAGAAAATATATTCGTCAATTCACATTGAAGCTAATTCAAGACGCGATATCATAACGGTCAGTGACAGGAGGCGTAGCTGTTGTTTCACGTAGCTGCAGTCGATTTACTACTAGCTAGAAAGTGCGTGAAAGTTACCAAAATATTCCGGTGAAAAAGCACTATTTAATATCGGAAGATATATTATTTTGCTCAGAATTCTTCGTTCTATCCGGCTATATGGTTTGCAACATTTTCTGACCAAAAACTAAAGATTTGGTTTTCTAGCGATCAGGTTTTCCAGAAGTTCTATTATCAACTTTTCTCATGTAAAGGCGATATGCACCGCATCTGATAGAAAAATCCTCTTGCTATTCAGATTGGTTCCAGCTTTTACTAAAAGGTCAAAAACAAGGTAGTTCTTGTGATTATGACACACAGTACTGCTTAGATAACACCGAAAAGCTTCTTTTCCATATCTGTAATGACTAGCCCCACTTGTCCGGATATTGTGACCAGCTCACTTTGTAGAGAATTTCAAGGGCTATCGAATGGTATGTTTTCGATCAATACAAAATTTTCCGTTATGACAGAAAAACGACTAATGAAATGTTCAAAGCACTAAGATAGATGAAGGTCATTATATCGGCCAAGTATTTCAACTATTGACCAATGTGGGCATATTTTTGAAAGACTTATTTATAGCTCACTGTGAAGCTTCTAAAATTCTCTATCGAATGACGTATAAAGTGGAGTCATTCACGAGAAAACCAATGGATATTATGAATATGAACGACGTTGACCTACAGGTTTGCTGAGATGCTACCGAGTATTTCGGAGCCCAGACTACCAAGTTACAGTTTCTTAAAACTATCTTATACGACATTTTGAAGCCCGTGAAATTCTCTATCGAATGATATATAAAGTGGAGTGATTAACCGGAAGATTAGTCACTATTATATAAATGAATGATGTTGATCTACCGGTTTCTTGGGATGCTACAGAATATTTCTGATCTCAGACTATCCAGTTACATTTTCTAAGACTATCTTATATCATTTTGAAGCCCGTGAAAGTCTCTATCACATGATGTATAAAGTTGAGTGGTTAACGACAAAATCAATGGATACTGTAAACATGAACGATGTTGACCTACCGGTTTCCTCGGATTCTACCGAGTATTTCGGACTCAGATTACCCAGTTACATTTTCTTAAGATTTATCTTATATATCATTTTGTGGCTCGTGAAATTTTCTATCGGATGATGTGTAAAGTAGAGTGGTTAACGAGAAAATTAGTCACCGTTACAAACATGAACGACGTTGATCTACCGGTTTTTTAGGATGCTACCGAGTACTTCGGATCTTAGAGTACCCAGTTACATTTTCTTAAGACCATCTAATATGATCTCATATCATTTTGTAACTCGTGAAATGCTCTATCGAATGGTGTATAACAGGTGATATTTGCTCTGGGTAAAACAGGTTGAATGATGTAAACTGAACACAAAAAACATACTCAAAAAAAAATACTACTGATAACATCGAGTCGATTGCACAACTTCAATGGTTGTACAGAATATAGACACAGAACAGTGAATTTAGTGTTGCAGTTTCTGCAAAGCTAAGTTCATGTGTTCGAATCTCTATTTGTACAAAACTGATTTTGTGTTTTTCGATGGTTTTAATTTAGAATACTACAATGGAGTATTTTTCCGCTTGCATTCTGACAGAATAAAGCTTATATCAAATACTTTGAGTAAACGTCGTTTAACACGAGAAGAGTTTTTTCTGTTAATAGGTTTCCAGGGGCGCTGAGAAGGATTTTTAAGATTTAAAAATATGTTAGCGTTAATCGTGAACAAAAATTGTATCATATGAGTTAACGTAAGACTGATTTGAGGGTGGGCCGGTTTTGTCTCTTATCTTCCCCCGTCCTTTACAAATATCACTTTTCAACGTGGTGCGTAGTCGTCCATCGCTTGCGTTTCCAAATGCATGTAAATCTGACACCACTATTGTTTCATTTACCAAATTAGACGCTCGTCGTGCACTTGCTACTAGTTCAAACTCGGCTCTCATTGCAGTCGTTGAGCCTTGGCTAACTCCAATCACCGATGATCGTACAATAGCGCTACCACTAACAAGAAATAGGAATCGACGGGGAGTTTGCCTATTGTATGGACGTCAAGATTTAGATATAAAGCGGCATCCCAATTTAGAAACCAGTGATCTAGAATTAATAATATTTGCACTAACATCTGCTTCAAAACAGAAATATGTTTTCTTCCTGTGTTATCGGTCTGATCACAATGATTTGGATGATGTCTTTTTTTTTCGACTTTCCACATATTATTAAGCGCATAGGCTGTTACAAAAAGAGTAAGAATGATTAACAGATATACCATACCCAAATTTACAGTAAATCAAAGTAAATTTTTTAACATACATATACCCAATTATACACTTAAACAATGAGGGAATAAAAGAAAAAAAAATAAAGTAAAAAGCCAACATATTAGTCGTAAACTTTTATCGCACTTATCCCAAAAAAGGAAAAAGAAACAACAAAAAGAACAACATTATACTATGCATACTGCAAGATCAGAAATCACGTCTGTAACAAAACTACCCTGTCGTCGTCTCACCACACACACTCAGTAAACTAATATATTAAATTCTTTCTTTAACGAAGTCTATCGAAGTTGCCATTGATAAACCTACCTCATATTATAGAGCTCAGCAAGCTGAACCGAATGGTGAAAACCGCAAGCCTCTAGCCTTGTTAGAAAAAAAGTTATAGCCATTTTAGCTCGCAGCGGAAAAATGCATTTTCTGGCGGATTTAGCCTAACTTGTAAGTCAGAACGTCTGCTGACCACATTCCCTAACGTAGAACCTTGAAGTTGGTAACAAATGAAAGAGCGCGTCGAGTTTTATATATTTCGATGAATAAACGTTATGCTAGAGCTCGGGGTCTTGAGATAGAGATTTCTGAAAAACTCAATTTTCTAGAAAATCTAGCGACGTTAAAATTTCTTACAGAAGTTTTTCAACCATATCATTGGACAGATCCTGCAATTCTCCACAAGATGAGATGTTGGGCATGCGCCTACGGTTTTGAACGATCAAGTTACAGGCTGTTTAACATTAAGAATATAAACTCATTCGGTTTAATGCCGAGTTTTCGATCTTTATCGTATTTTTTATGACACTGTGACACTACATCGTAGAAACGTGTCCAACATCTCATTTCGTGGAGAATTGCAGGATCTATTCAATGATATAGTCGAAAAACTTCTGTAAGAAATTTTAAGGTCGCTAGGTTTTCTAGAAAACCGAGTTTTTCAGAAATCGCTATCTCGAGATCGCGAACTCTAGCATAACGTTTATTCATCGAAATATATAAAACTCGACGCGCTCTTTCATTTGATACCAACTTCAAGGTTCTACGTTAGGGAATGTGGTTAGCAGACGTTCTACAATTTAGGCTAAATCCGCCAGAAAATGCATTTCTGCGCTGCGAGCTAAAATGGCTATTACTTTTTTTTCAGTATATGTTGAGTGGACTAATTTTTCACATGCCAATAGAGTAGAAAAAGAAGGATTAATGAAAACTTTATATAAAAGATTTTATATAAAAAACTACAATGTGTAGTTCTTTTATATAAAAAAATCTTTTGGTTTCGTTTTTGATAACATATGATAGTTATTTGAAAGACAAATTGCTAGTTTCATTTTAATTAAATATATATTTTATTTAATTATAAATAAATGGCATTTCCAGTAGCCGCTGTTGCTCTTAGTTTTTGCTGAAAGTATCGCGCTTACGAAAGCAAAACATTTCTCCGCATATGTGGAATGAAAAGTACGATCGCGACTGAGCGCTGAAAATTTTCAGCGCTCAGTATGAATTTAAATTCAAGTTTTCCTGTTTTTTTCAAGAAGAAAAAATGTCCTACATCTTTTCTTGTTTATAGGACTTCATACGTGCCAAATATCGAGAAGGAATGGTAATCAAAAAAATATCTTTCGATTGAAATTAAAAAACCGATTTCTGCACATATTTTATCAAACGTTTCTCTTTGGGTAAAAGCATGCTGCCGTCCAGCAAATTAAAAACGATTAAACTTTTGTTTCGAATTTGGTGGTCGAGGTCATTTTTCAACAATATGTCTATCCTATACTGTTAGATAGAGAATTGAATTTTCTACAAAACAGCTCATTTACTTTTGGAATGTAAAACTGAATTGTAATTAACCATCTATGTGAATGTGAAGGACTTTGACATTTATTCTTAGATGAAAATGGATTGTTAAGTATTGGAGACCGTAACAGGCATTTATATTAATAACAGTCTGTTTACTGGTATATGTCAAAAGAACGATATAAATCATCAACAGTGTCCTTCGATGATGATTGATACACGATCTCTACGCATCGCATCTCATTTATCGATAAGACAGGCCCCGTTATTATCGGCGATAGGGTGTTGATGATAATTATTATCATCAGTCTTATTTCTCTTCTTATTTTCCTTCTCTTTCTTTTTCTGTAACATCAAATCGTCTTTATTCATTTGATGTGTGTTTCGCGTTAACATGAAGACGACAATACTCTTGATTCTGCTTCTTCTACTATGCTTGATTCAACAATCTGTACAGCAAAAAGGCAAATACATTGTAAAAAAAGACCTGTTCGATTTCCAACACAGTGAATTTTCTGTGTACGATTATCAAACTCGAAAACGTCTACTCTATCGTATTGAAACAAAGTTTGGCCGGTCACACAATGCCAGTATTGTCCAAATGTCCGCTAGTAATGAAGAAAAGAATAAAATTATTGTCGGAAAAATTCGTGGACAACCACAAGTTTTTAACAAGTACAACGGTGAATTTAAAATTTTGGACATAGACAGTGGAAAATGGAAAGTTGGTACAATTAAACAGAAGGGTACATTCTTTTCATCGTTGATATATGATATTAATTATGGTGGACTGCGAGTGACGATGGAAGAGAAATGGAATGATTTGACAATGAAATATATCGCAAATAATCGAACGTACGCAACCTATCGGCGACATCTATTTTTCAACTTAAATACCTACGATCTCAATATTTATAACGATGAATTACCGGTCACATTTTATTTGATTGGTCTGGCTGTAGTCGAAAGAAAACCTTCGATGGCAAAAGGACGTTAAGAAACAGAGATCTATCGTGCTTCTTCCACTAAAGATATTGGTCCAGTCTGTCGCACATAGGAATCAATATGTTTCATCAATTAGAACATTGCAAGAGTGGCATTTGTACTTTCTTCCCGTTGTAGAGCCCTAGTTTACTAAAGAATCGAAATATAAGAATGATCTAAAATACTAATATTTCGAAATATGATGACGGAGAGTGATTATTGATTATCCACCAAACATAGCTAGAAAATTTTTTTGAAGAAGTGGAAAGAACAAAAAAATAAAAAAGAGGGAAATATGTCTAGTACTGAAGTAACTTATAATATAAATCGAGTGTTATCGTTATGACACATGCCAATAAATTAACAGAAAAATTAATACACTTTCTTAAAAATTCTGGTGTTAAACTATATATGTAATGTTAAAGTTCAGTACAACTGACAGCGTTAATAGATAACAGAGAAAAGATTTATTTTAAACTAGAGAATTTTTAGTATAGAGATTACTATTTGAATGTGATGGTTTGTAATACAAATTTTGTAAACTTATATAATAGGACACTACATAATTTCAATGTAGAATAAAATCCCTTTCCCTCTTCCTATCGTGCGCGTATCATCCAGTATATCCTGATCTAGAATACATTGCTCATTGATATTCTGACATCTGTAAACAGCATAAAACTAAAGCTAAAATAATTGGATATTACGTGGCGTGATTCAATACCACAGATTAATGAGAATGCCGCTTGTTCGATCAAAGCGATAAAAATATCATTTCGACGGGAAAAGCTAAGACAGAAAAAGCTTTTCCCGTCGAAACGATATTTTTATCGATTTGTGTAGAAATTATTTATTTGAGTTTTACGGCAAAGACGTTACGCTGACCGCGAATATTGCCGTGTTCAGAGAGACGTTCATTCAGAGAATATCGATCTTTTCTCGATGACCAATAAACATTTTCATCAAACATTGCGTCATTTTAGCGCAGACTTCGTTACCATACTGCAAAACGTCAATTTAAATTAATTTAGTTTTGATAGTAAATTAATAATCATTTGTTTTCATTCGTCACTGACAAAAACAAATATACCACAATTAACAGGCAGGCACGCAGGCAGGTAGGCTGCCTGGCCTGCTTCGAGCCCTGATATATATCAGCTGTACATACCAAAACTAGTATAAAGTGAAATATTCTGTAGTAACTATGGGATAGTGATATAGCGACCAGATATATTTTGAAATGTTCCGTTAGCTTCTTCTCAGCTATTTATCGGTCTTTTTAGCTTAAACAATGCATTTCTTATCCAAAGTTACTTTTAGATCGACCCCCCTAATAATCTTTCCTGCAAGCTACTATTTCTTTTCTTCAGGACAAAATCTCACAGACCTTTCCGAGTAAGCGTAGTAAGATATCTAACTTGCTACAAGTCAAAAGACGGAGGAAAAAATTCGCAGGATTATCAGAATGAAAAATCCTACGAGATATACCAAACAATGCAGAGGAACGTTATCGGTAGGGCCGGTTGTTGCAAAAACCTGCAGGATATAACTAACATCTACAGAATTTTGAAAACGCTTTCAAATTTTCCAGACTTTTCTTTCAGCATTGATAATACACGAAAATACACAAGTATAAGCATTTGTATGAAATGAGTTGGAATTGGTTCTGTAAGAGTTTCCGACAACTGAATCTTTTCCGAAGACCAGTTTCGACTCCTTTCTCATCCACCAAATATTGCACAGCGGCTCACCCTCAAGCTGCACCTCGCCCTTCCCCTTCCACGGTTCTTATATTCATTGGAATTCGAGATGTTTCCACCAAGCCCAGCACATTTTGTAAAAGTTCTTATATTTGTGTATTCTCGTGTATTGTCAATGCAAATACACCAAGCCCAGAAGTGTAAACAGAAATAGTCACTTTTTCAGAATACACCACATACTGATATTATGGCATCTCTGCTTCCAGTATATAAAAACTGTTAATCTCTAATTAACTAGTTTTTTTAAGCTAATAAGAAAATTGAGAATTGAAAAGTAAATCGAAAGATAACTTATCATACCCTATTCGAAGAAGCTACAAAAACACTTCTCGTTTCTATAAATACATAATTTCAAATGTATTATGTTCTGAGGTAAGGAAAACGTCGATGAGAAAGCGATGTTTAAGGGGGGGGTCCCCCCACCCGTTTTTTTTCAGCAGTTTGTGGAGGACACTTCGAAGTATACGTCTCAACAAAGCTTTCAGTTCCCGGACTTATAGTTTTTGATAAAAAAAATTTTTAATTTTTTTTCGGGTTTTTTGCCCTATTTTTAAAATTTTAATAAAAACTTCATGTTTTGACATGAAGAGTTGATTCTAGCGTAGTTCGATAGAGAACATTAATTTTTATAAGGAGAAAAACTTTACATCGTTCCCAAATGAAGTTTGACGGAG